ATATATATATATATTTTTTTTTTTTTTTTTTTTTTTTTTTTTTAAGATGCAGTCTTGTTATGTTGCCCAGGCTGCCTTGAATTCCTGGGCTCAAGCAATCCTCCTGCCTCTGTCTCTCAAGTAACTAAGATTTCAACATATATTTAATGAAAATTTCCATGTACCAGATATAGTTCCAGGTACTAGAGCAAGAAGTAGTAACCAAAACAGACAAAAATGTTATATGTTTATCTTCACTGAACTACCAACAGGCCTTAGAAGAGGAAACACTAAAAGAAGGGGATTTTTCTACAATTACCAGGTAACTCTAGGAAATACTCTGATAGGAGATACCAGCTGTTTATAGGGAACTCACAAGAAGTAAGAAAGCCTGATCATGAAATATGTATATAGCAGAGAAGCTCACAGAAAGTATAAAAAGTAAATCTACACAAGCTGGGTGTCGTGGTACACACCTGTAATTCCAGTGATTTGGGAGGCTGAAGTGGGAGGATCAAAAATTCAAGGCCAATCTTGGCAACTTAGTGAGACCCTGTCCCCAAATAAAAAGGGCTGGGAATGTAGCTCATTGGTAAAGTGTCCCTATGTTCAATCCCCAGTTCTGGAAAAAAATAAAAGTACCTACACAGGAACTCACATACAAGCATACAAGCCTTAGTGGTGCCATAACATATGCCAAGAGGAAACAGGGTCAGAAAACAAGACCAGCAAGAGGATGGTGCCAAATGATGGACAAGGCAGATAGACAATTTATGTGAAGGAAGGGTCTGATTCTTTTTGGAACCATTTTAGAGAACAAAGAAGTGAGGTTGCAACAATCAAGCCTTAAGAGTCAGAAAGACAATATACTATAAAGAGATCAGAACCTATAAAACAGGCCACTTATTTCCTATGTGGCTTTTGGGCAAGCTTCTCAGCCTCTTGGTTTATTAGTCTCTCAAACAAAGAGCTAATTATCCTCTCATTTGAGTAGGATGAGACATGTTTGCAGAAGTCATAAATTACCTTTACAAGGATCTTTTTTATTGGCTCCAAAGTATATTGTAAAGTTGAACCTAAGCCTTGCTTTTCGGACTGTCTTCTAAAACAACAACAAAACAAAGAGGTTCTAGTGGCTTGGCTTTTGGCTTAGTGGTAGAGCACTCACCTAGTACATGTGGGGCTCTGGGTTTGATCCTCAGCATCAAATATAAATAAATAAAATAAAGGTATTGTGTCCACCTACAACTAAAAACATATTTTAAAAAAAGAGGATCTAACAATACCAAACTCCAGTGACTTTTACAATTTTATATAGGAGAGGCTTAAGGGATATAATTTGATTAGAAGGGGAGGGCAGTGGCTAAGGGACTGAGTCATTATGAGGTTGTGTTTTCAAAGCAAACACGCTATTGTTTGTTTGTTTGTTGAAACTAGGGGCATCCTCACCCTTTTTATTTTTTATTTTGAGATAGGAACTCACTAAATTGCTTAGGACCTAAGTTGCTTAGGCTGGCCTAGCACTCATTTCTCTTGCCTTAGCCTTCCATGTCCTTGGGATTACAGGCATGTGCCATCACACCTGGCAAGAGAAAAAGACTCTTGATCAAAGATGATCTAGAATTCGCACTACTACTATGCATACCTTTATCAGTCTTTTTATGTGTCTATCTTCCCTGCCAACCATATCCCACTGATAGAAGCTCCCAGTCACCCAGTTATAAGCATAACACACTAGAATATTATATTGAACTACTACTCTGATGTCCAATATATTTGAGGTATTCTTACTTTAATACTGTCCTATATCCAGTTAATAGCTAAAGTCTGATTAAGGAAAAAGTTCAAAAGCAACAAAAAGCCAAAACAAAACAGGACACTTTTGGCTTTCACAAAACAGGATTTACTGTTTCAGACTCTGAACAAACAGCTCCTCCCTCAAGAGGATCCAAAGAGACTCTCTAAAAGATGTGTCTTAATTTGCCTCACCAGAAGGAATGGAGCACTGGCTAGAACTGCAGCTCAATATCTCAATATCTCGCCTAAGTGCCAAGGTACCAGCTGTCACTAGGTATATTTAGCTCATGAGCTCAGAAAAGTGATCTCCCAGTAGCTGGCCGTAGTGAAGTAGTGTGGATGGGAACAGAGAAGAAAGGATATCTCTCTAGAATTCCCATAATACAGGCTCAGAATTTTCTAACATAGGCCAGAAGAAGAGCAACACATCTTTGGATATAGGGATCTGAGCAGCTCTCCTGGGGAGAGCTGGTTTTAAATTAATTGTTTTCTTCTTAAAACCAATTAATCCTTTTTCCCCATCCAATCTTGTTCCTCACTACCTACTTTCCATATCTTCTAAACCAAACCACATGGCCTCCTCCACTCCCACTTCCCCTGAAAGCCCACTGTCTAGTATTAAGAATCAATAAACAACATGTTCTATATTAGACAATTCCTGTTTATCTCCTAAACATCCAGCAAGGACCCAAATTTTAGCTATGTAGCTCTGAATGTCTTTAACACACAGTGCTAGAACAATGATGATTCAGGGATGAAATACATGTCCACAATGACATCAGAAGCCGTTGGCTAGAAGTTAGGGAGAGGAGAGTCATTTCTCGCTCATTTTTGCATATCTAAGTCTCAATTCTACCATATTAAACACTAGAATAATCTATATAAAGTACAAACCTAACTAGACCAATTTACCTACTTAAAATCTCACAACTCCCCATTATTTCCAGACTTCTTAACCTGTCATTTAAGGTCTTTTACAATGTGGCCCACAGATTTACTTCCCAGTCTTGGCCATTCTCCTTTCCTACAAGACCTTACACTACAGACCAGTGGTCAGAAAATTGTGGCCATGGAACAAATCCAGTTTGCCACTTGCTTTTATAAATAAAATTTTATTGGAACATAGCCAGATTCACTCAGTGATATATTATCTATGGTTGTTTCATGCTACAAAGACAGAATTGAGTAATTGTTACAGTGACTCTAAGGCCAGCAAAGCCTAAAATATTTACTGTTTGGCTCTTTATAGAAAAAACTACTAACCCCTGCTATACACACATTTAAGCCACTTCAGGCTCCTCAAACCAATGCATAAGGTGCTCCATATAAAATGCTTTCTCCTACTTTTTGTTTGTTAAGGATAAAGTCACTCTCTGTAAAGTTTTCCAGACTTCTCCCAGATAAGTTAATTGCCCCTTGGTTCTCAGGGTTATATATCTATCACAATGCTTATCTCACTGTTCTATAACTACTCCCTAAGCAACTCAAAAGTGAATACTGTATTTCATTTATCATTTATCTCTTCAACCAACATTTAAAAATTTTCTGGAACAACTAAATGAATAATTAATTTAGCTCCATAGGCCCATCCCCAAGCATAAGGCCTGGCATAAAACAGAGTATATCATTATTAAAAATTGAATGAGTGTCTTTTACCTGAGTTTTTCCTATAACATGTAGCAGAATGCTTAGTTTAAAATAGCTAGTCAAAATAGCTATGTCTATGAATAATTCTCTAAAATATACCATATATTAAGC